CGCCAGCTGGCTGGCAAATGCTCACAAATGTTAGCGGATATGATAGTAGTCATTTAAAAAAGTTTTTCAATCACCTTTTCGGCTTCCTTTATCTGATTGTTAAGTGGGGAAGGCAGAGAGCAAGCCGTCATGGGGATGGTACGTTGCCACCTTTCCAAGCTGGCGGATGATGGGACAGTCCTCTAGGTGAGCATGCTTTTGGGGTTTGGGTTTCTGGTGGCCGGGTGAAGCCCTGAGGTCTGCTTTGCTGCAGAAAGAAGGGCCTTAAGGTGCGGTGAGGTCCTGGGCGGACGGGCTGAGGGAGGCTGGTCCCCGAGGAGGGGACTCTTCTGCCAGGACAGGGCCAAGGTGGCAGTGATGAGCCGTGGGGCTGAGAGTCAGCCCAGCTGGGATGGGGGAAGCCCACCGTCAGGGCAGGGAATGGGGAAGACTCGGTTTCCTGCCCTCAAGCAGACCACACTCTGGTTCAGGAGACAGCACGCAGGCATTAAAAGATTAAGACAGCTCAGGGCCCTAATCGTCTTTGCCTTTCATTTGGTAATTGTTGTAGGTGGCCTCCAGCACTTATCTGGAAGGTATTGTCTGGGAGGCAAGGAGTTTGTCACTTCTGTCCTCACCTCTCTCCCAGGACCTAGGAGGACCTAACACACTGCAGGTGCTCGAGAAATATTTGTTGAATGAGTTGATCATAGACTTTGTTATCACAAAATGTTCCTAGGTATAGTCAAGAGCAGATTTAATTCTTATGACCTAGAACATTCTATTTCTCTTCCGTCCATTTCCCTTCTTTTCTTAGCTCAGTGTTTCAGCCATGTTCTTTGGGAGTGTACCATCTTGAAGACTTTGACCTTATCTGCAGGCCTCTTGTATCATTACCTACTTACTATTTTTCCTTATACTGCTTCATTTGTATTTCAGTGTATTACTTTGTTTTGTCCTAGGTAATATCTGTGAAGTTATGGTCTTGGTGTGCTAATAATGTTTCTTTCCTAATATGCTTTAAATGCATAACTATTAAAATATCCTCATATGAGAAATCTGAGTATGGTAACACCTCCTTGTCCTCTAAAACTCTGCTCAAGTATTCCCTCTTCTGGAAAAATCTCCCCATACTTCCTGCAGGGCTGATTCAATATTCCCTTTCTGCCTATGTCATGTAGGAGCCACTCCCTCATCTGACTGCAGGAGTGAGCACGAGGGATCTGACTTTGCACAGGGCCCCCACATAGCAGGGGCTCAATAAGCGATTTTGATCGACTGAATGAAACTCCTTGAGTCTACAAAAACGTACATTGCCTGGCTACATGTGGGTGCCCTGTTATCCTGTGAGGACAACATGCTATCATTCAGGGACCTGGTGTTTCGGAGCTTGCCCTCGGGGGCCCATCAACAAGACAGCTATATGAACTTCCATTTCGACTCACACCCCCAGCAAAGAGCTAGTGTGTTCTTTGTCCAGGGAGACATCACGTCCTCTGCATCAGTGAACCAGCCAGCCCTGCAATAGTTCTAGTCTCTGGCCTTGTTTCCCAGATTCCTCCATGTATCAGACTGTGGCACTGGCAATCCAGGGAGGGGGCTCTTGGTCCAGTGGGATAGAAGCAAGTCCTCAGATAGAATGGAGGTTCCTTTCAGTCTACTGAAATAACTTCTAATACACACACTCTCATTTTTCCTGCTCCAAATGCCAATGCACCTGGTGTCTGCTCGTGTTCTCGGTTCTGCATGCCTGCCCCTTGCCTCTCCAGCATGAGTCCATCTTTCCTGTCTGATACATGTTGATATCCCCGTAAGCACCTGGAACAGTGATTGTGGATGCTTATGAATATTTTATTAGTTTGCAGGTGTTTATGTGTCAGGCAAATTTGGGCACAGGTTTCTGGCCCAGATTCCCATTTTCATGTGCCTTGTCACTTCTTAGCCAAAGCTAAATACTGTTGCCACAACAGAATATGAAAGGAACTACAAACACATAGCAAAGCCTTCTTTAGTGCTCAGGGCCGGGGGCATTTCCTACACACCAACTTGCCTCTTGGATTCCAGAAGACTCCCTTGGCAAATGATCTCCCATCTGCTCTGTGGTTTTTCATTGCTTTCTGCAGCCTTAGGTCTAGTATCTTCCAAAAGAGCACTTCCCAACATCCCAGTGGACAGTTCCTTCGGGATGCTTTTGGTGGCAAGGAACAGACAGCCCAATGCAAGACAACGTCAACAGTAATCGGTCCACCTGGCAGGGAGTCCAGAGACAGGGCACTTTTAAGGTGGAGTGATTCACTAGGACATTTCATCTTCCCTTCTGCCCACATGGAGTATGTTGGCAGATGTCCCCTTCATTGTTTCAAGCTGGCTGCAACAGCCCCCAGGCATTGTGCCCTCAAGACGATGCCAAGAAGCAGGAGGACATCTGGACAGGAGATATGCCATCTTGTGTTTTCTCTAAAGAGTGAGGGAAATGACACCATAAGCCCAGCTGACTTCCCTTCCTTTCTCACTGGTGAAGGGTGTGTCACGTGACCACACCTGCACTCATTATTTGAATATAAGCAAGTAAGTCAATGAGGAGAGGGAAGAGCAGTTTTGGAGACAACCAATGACTCCTGCCACAAAACTTTAGTTTCAGAGTTTCTCCAAGTGTGGTTTGGAAAGCATCTCCAACCAGAATCTGCTTGCTGCTAAAATGTACGTTCTTGAGAACCACCCCCCCTTTCCTGGCCTCCTGAACCAGAATCTCTGGGAGCATTTTAACAATAACCCAGTGAGTCTTAATGTGCACTGAGTTTCAGACCGTGGGTCTGGTGTTTGTGGTTGTCTCTCATTAATATTTACAGATTGTAGTTGGTCCTTTATCAGGGAGCCTGCGAGAGCAAAAAAATAAAGAGTTAGCCTTCAAAAATTCTCTTCCCAGCCCTTGCCTTTTGGAGATTCAAACAGAAATATTAACTGGTACATTGATGATATCTAGGATTTGTTTCAAAATAATCCGGGTAGCAGTGGGGATGTGAGCAATGTGAATGAAACAGAATTGGCCACGATTTGATAATATTGAAACTAGGTAATATACATAGGGTTCATTATACTGTTCTTTCTACTTACATTAAAAAAATCTCCTTTCAGACACCTGCTGTGTCACTATGCAGCCTTTGACATGGGGTGTGTCACTCTCCTTGAGACTCAGGTTGGGATCTAGGAGCCCAACAGCACACATTCTTTCCCAGAAAGCAGCGTTTGCACATTTTCATTTCCCCCGCTTCTCTCCAAATGAACCTTTGCTCCAAACAAGGTCTTATGCGGAACCCAAAGGTATGACCCATAAAAGTGCAATTGTTGTGGTTACAGATGCTAACGGGTGCCTCCTGGGCAGCCTTTATGGTCACTCCAAAAACCCCAGGACTCCAGAAGACAGTTTAACAGTGACTGCGCTAGCGTATTGCAGACAACACTCATACAGATTACATTTCTGTTGAGGCCTTGGCCTTGTCCTCAGACCCAAGAAATTCTTACGGTGTGAAGATTCAGTCGTGGATGCAACTACTAAGGCACATGCTTCCTGCCTGTGATTCAGTCTTTTCCCCGAGATTCCATGGGTCCCAAGCCAGAGGGCACAAACACGCATCTCCCCTCCTATCAGCAGTGTGGTGTTACCCTGACCCGGAGCAGGAAGAGACAGGCCATGCATATTTACTGTAGCTTCAGGTTTACTATCTGGACAGCGTGTCTGGCTGTGGTTGGGACCAGAGCTGGGTGGGTCGGCGGAGAGTTTTCGGTGTGGATGCATCCCCCCCCCTCAGGGAGCGGGATTTGACTTTCAATCCCCTGTGATGTTGGGAGCTCTTGACTTCATCTTTTAATGAGTATGTCCTACGCTGGACCATGGCTCCGTGTGCCTGCTGGCTACCTAACCCCACTGCACTGAGTATGGAGATGCCTTGGAGAAGGGCTGGGGGCAATGAGTGATCTTAGGCTCTTATGTCTCTATTCCTAGAATCCAAGATACTTTCATAAAATCCTTCAAAGAAGAGTCATTCATGGTAGTAACCAGATACCTACTGTATCCAATTCCTATCGCTGTTGTGATAAATTACCACCAAGTGAGTGGCTTAAGACAATACGAATTTATTTTCTTACAGTTCTGCAGGTAACACATCTGACATGGGTCTTGCTGTACTAAAATCAAGGTGTCAGTAGGGGTGTGTTCCTTTCTGGAAGCTGGAGGGAAAAATCCATTTCCTTACTTTTTCCGCTGCCACATTTGTTGGCTCACGGTGCCCTTCCTCCACCTTCAAAGCCAGCACAGCATCTTCACATCTTTCTTTGTCTCTGCTTCCTCTCTTCCTGACCTCGTCTCTTCCTCTTTCACTTCGAAGGACCCTGGTGATTACATGGGGTCCACCTATAATCTAGGATAATCTTCCTATTTTAAGGTCAGAGGATTAGCAACCTTAATTCCATCTACAATCTTAATTCCCCTTTGCCTTGTCAATTAATATATTCACAGACCATGGAGATTAAGCTGTGGACATCCTCAGTGGGGGGACATCATCCGGCTGACCACACCAGTGGGTTTCAAAGCATAGCAGTAGCTTCCTTTGTCATGACAGATATGCATCCAGCAAGGAGGGGCTGTTGCAAGCGAAAGGGATGGCACCGCAAATGCATCTTTGTTCTTGGCTTAATTGGAGTGTTTGAGCTTAATAAGGTAGACAGTGGGGTTTTTTTGTTTGTTTTGTTTTGTTTTGTTTTGACCGTAGATGGGCATGACCTGGAAGTTAGGGCACAGGACATAGAAAAGAAAAAAAAAAAGAAAACCTGGGCATTCCAGTTCTTACTGTACCAACAGCGGATGGTATACGTTTAAGCAAATTAGCCTATTTTGGTCTCAGTATCACATTTGTGAAATGGGTCCATTAATACTCATTGTGAACAAGGAATCGACTGAAATGTCTATCAGAAATGTGGCTCTTAGAAGCATGGTGTTTAAAAAAAATTTTAGTGGAAGATAATAGAAGTAAATTTCTTTATTCTTCATGGAATTCTCATTTAGGGCCATTAAGCCTTGGGCGTGTTTCTTTAAGAGGAAGAAAGGAAGCGTTGAGTCATTTGTGAGTCTCTGGCCCTTTGGCCCCTGCATATAAAATATAGCAAAGCTTTCTTGAAACCAAACTTAAAATAGGAAGCCTGGCATCCACATACAGCCACAGGCTCTTCTTAGTTCTTTTCCTTCTTCTTTCTGCCTAGCTGCAGAAATAGCCCGAGGAAAGGTGATACCTTGCAGTGGGACCAGGGGCAGGTAAGCGCCACTTCTGGGTAAGAGGTCGATGTTAGCAGAGGAGTTGATGTGGGGCCCTAGAAGGGAAAAAAATAAAGTCAACAACTTCAGATAGAAACAGGCTCCCTGGAAATATGGCAGCGGGAAGCGGTTTGGGTTTATAGTCTCTGCCTACTTCAGAGGGTGCAGCAGCCCAGGAGAAGGCACATCAAGTTTTGCAAACTGTAGAGCACAGCGCAGTCTAAGGCTCTGTGGTGAAGCAGTGTTAGGTCGACGCAGAGGAAGAAGGAAGAGTCAGAATTTGGCTCCAGGAACTAGTGCGGCACCATTTCGCCCCCACCTTCTTTTCGGGGGGCCTGCTCCCCACTCCCAAGCGTGTGTGGATCGCCGCGTTGGGACACATGGCCCGCGCTTGGCCTCCCGCGTTTCGCACGGTGCCTTCCCCGCGGTTGCCCCGCGTAGTGGGAAGCGCGTGGAAAAACTCAGACCTGTAACAAGTGGTCATGCCTCGGAGACTCCTGGAAGCAGCCCGCCGTGCGTTCGGGAGCAGCGGCGGGGCGGCGCTGCGGCGGGGGTCAGGCTGCGCCCGTCCCCGGCTGGCTGCGCGGCCGCCGGGGCCCCGGGGCTCCCGGGCGCGCCGCCGCCGGCCCCGCGCATTCCTGGCCCGGGAGGAGAGCGCGGCGGGCGCCCTGCGCGAGCAGCTGGCTGCGCGCGGGCCCTCGGAGCGCCGAGAGCTGGGGGAGGAGCCTGGCCCGGCCGCCGCCGCGCTCCCAGTCATTGGCCTTTTGTGCTGCAACTTTGCCCGACCCTCGGGGGGCCGCGCCGCCCCCGCGCCCGCCCCGCGCCGTTGCCCCGGGAAAGTTTGCGTCGCCGGGCCCGGACGGGGGGTGGACTCCGCGCGCCGCCGCTCGGCTCGGGCAACTCAGACGCTCGGGGCTCTTTGGCAGTCGCGTCCCCGAAGGAAGGCGACTCCGCGCGAGCCATCCGCGAACGCCCCGGGCCGGTAAGTGAGCCGCGGCCACCGGCGGGCGGGCGTCCGGGGTCAGGGAGGAGACGGGCGTCCCCAGGACCTTGGCCGCCAGACAAAGGCGTGCTAGAAGTGATAGCCGAAGCTCACTTGATCTTTCCCCAGGAGGCACTGGCTAAGGGCAGGAGAGAGGCGAGGCACGCATTTGTGTCCCCTGCTGGCAGAGGAGTGTGTCTGCGGGGCAGCTGGCGGGCCCGGGGCGTGTGCCGGGGAGGCTCGCTCCGTCCGTGAGACCGTTCGGGGTGCGCGCCCGCGGCTGGGGTCCCCGCCCAGGGTCGAGGTCTCCGCCCGCGGTTGGAGTCTGCGCGTGTGCCCGGGTCTTCGCCCTAGCTGGGGTCCCCGCCCGCTGTTGGGGTCGGTGCCCGGAGCCGCGGTCCCCGCCCATAGATGGAGTCTCCGCTTGCAGTTGGGGTTCGGGACCGCGGTCCCCGCCCGTGGCCCGGCTCTGCGCCACCCCCTTGGGGGCTCCTTCAGAGTTCGAGCGGTGCCACCTGGTGGCGCGGGGTCACCCCCGGCGGTCCACGGCGGCGCGTGGATGAGCCATAAGACCGCACTGCATTTCCTCCAAGTTAGGGACTTTTAAATTCTCGACTAGTTACGTCAGCGGGGCCGAGCGCACTTCAGGGCTCCGGCGAGCACGTGACCCGCGGAGCTTCCCCTGGGCGTCCTTGACTCCCTGGCCCCGCGGCGTGACTCTTCCTTGGCCTCTGCAGGTCCTGGAAAAGTGACTTCAAAAGTCCTGATTGCCTGCACAGGCTGCGGCTCAGGTCGTGTTTGTTGTACGGCTCAGCGCTTGTCTTGGCTTACAGTGGCATCGTCAGCATCATCATCATCCCCTTCACGCCGTTAGCCTAGTTATCTTCTGGCTCTGTCAGTTGCTAAGGACAGGACCTTGTGCGCGGGGGCCGGGGGGGGGGGCGGCGTTAAATACAACAGAGAGAGACTTTGTGAGAAAACGTGTCCTCAGGCATCGGTGGGCTGAGGAGGCGCGAATGGAAGCTTCGGGAAGGGCAGCCAGGGGGCCGGGTTAGCGTGCCCACAGTGTGTGCAGGGGTGCAGGCGGCTGTCCCACCCCCCTGCCCGCACGGTACTGGACAATCGAGGGCCCTCGTGCTGGTTTCTATCAGTTTTATGCCAGAAGAGGACGGAGCTTTGTTAGAAGGCAGAGAACGCTCTGTTCTTATTTCTCTGGGATTCGCTGTGAAGCCACATTTCAAAAGCTGTTTTCATTGTAGTATTTGGAAGTGACTTTGGAAACGTCTGGGGCCATGTCCTGAGGCTGGTTTCATCTGTGGCTTCATCCACTCTGAATCACTTACATGTTTTGAAGTTGAGTCTTCACCATTGTTCTCAGGGGCCTGGTTTGAAGTCGGTGGAGCTGGAGGAAGGGTTTGCTGGGGCTTGGGGAATGGGCTACCGCCCAGCCTCCAGCCCTGGGCTTTCTCATCCGGAGCTCAGTCGGGGAGCTCTTGGAGAGAATAGGGCCGGTTGTGCTGGGCAGGTGAGTCCCTTGGGGCTCCTTCTCACAGGCTCTGCCCTGGGCTCAGGCATTCTCCTTAGAGGAGGGCCGGAGCAGGAAATAGGTCAGGAACTGCCCTCATCCAGATGCCACGGCTGACTCTGAGCTACCCCGAGCCTCTTTTTCAGCTCCTGCACTGGTGCTAGTCCCTCATGTAAAGGTAGGCCGGGCACCAGGGAGGGCGACCCCCACACAGACATCCCTGCTTGTGGAGATCCAGGGAACAAATGTGCCCCCCTGGGAAACCAGCAAGGAACTGGCCTCTGGTCTCCCTGTTCATCTCCATCCTTTTTGTTTCTGAGTTTGAGCACTTAAAAACTCTTAAAACTTAAAACACTTAAAAACGTAAATATCTTAGCTGGAAGGAAACTTAAAGATCAAAGTTGCATGTTATAGATACCCAAAGGGAGACTCGGAGAAGTCCAGCGTCACATGTGAAGGTGGGACTCTAACCCAGGATCCCAGGCACCTGGCGCGGTGTTCTCTCGGCTAAGTCCTGAGGCCTCCGTGGTCTCATCCTGCTTTGTATTGTGGTTATTTATGTTTGTCATTTCTATGGAGACAGGCACTGCTTGAGGGAGGACCTGCCTAGTTTGCAGTACACGGCATAAGAGTGACATGGGCCTGGGGGGGTGGTCAGTGGTTGAAGTGAGTAAGACACAGTCTCTGCTTTCAAGGAGCAGTGTGTGTGTGTGTGTGTGTGTGTGTGTGTGTGTGTGTGTGTGTGTGTGTGTGTGTGTGTGTGTTCTCCTGGGACTCAGGTCCACAGCCGAAAGCAAACGGTTCTTGGATTGACTGTGGTTTGGGTTTTCAGGCCCCGGTACCTTTTGCACAATGAGGAGAAGGTCTAGCAGGCTGGTGATAGAGTCTCTGACTCTTCCTGGCCAGAGGAGCAAGTCAAAAAAGGAGAAGACCACAGAGCTGGGTGCCCGGGTCTCTCCTACTGTGACTTGTGACCAAGGCGTGTGACATCTGGCTCGGGGGCTGGGTTTTGTCTCTCCCCCACCGAGGTCACCGGTCCCTTGTTTATAACCTCGGGAATCATTTCTACAGCAACTCCCTGAGCTTGACAAAATGGCCCATGGATTATGGAACCGTTCAGGAGAAAGGAAAGGCAGGAAGAAGATGACCTGGCAAAACAAAAGTTTGTAGGGAGGTGGCTCTAAAAATAGAAAGGGCAAACAAAATGTGCGGGGGCCTCTAGAGCAATGATCTGCAGTGGAGGTTTCATTACAGATATCTTGGGGATCAGCTCTGTCCCCCTTCCCTTCCTCTCTGGCCCTGTCTGGTCTATGCCTTCAGTCTGGCGCTCGGCAACGGTACTCAGTGTGGCCAATTCAGAGAAAGCAAAGTTCCCAAGATGGGTTTTCCCTGGGATGGGAGAGGCAGTACAGACAAAGCTCCCAGTTTTGAGACTGAGCTCCTATATTTGAGTCCCTGCCCCAGCCCTACCAGCTGTGTGCCCTCGGGCAGGTCACTAACCGTCTCTGAGTCCCGACTTCCATCTTCTAATGGTGTGGACACATATCCACGTATCCTTGCCCGCTTGACTCTCAGGATTGTGGGGGCAAGTGCCATCATGTGCCCGCAAATACTGGCAAACTGTGAAGTGCTGTGCACACAGAAGGGTCTGGTTCTATTTTCACCTGGTTATGATCAAAAGGATTTGATTAGGGGAGGTGGAGTTCCTAAGACCTCCGAGAGCTTATTTTTATTGGTATTATTTTTAAGTGGAAATGAGGAGGTGTGCTAGTGAACAGGGTTCTCTTTTATTCGGAAGCCGGCTCTCCGGCCCCCTGTTTTGCCCATCCTCCCATTTAATTGCTCATTTATAGTTTCCCCAGGAAACAAGTAAAAATAAAAGAATAGGAAACTCCCTTCAGTTCTGCTCACAGAGAGCAAATCTAGGGGAAACACTGGAAAGAAGTAGTTGCTGTACCGGCTCGTGTGCAGATTTGGCCGTTTCTGGTCCTGCTCAGCCCCGTCTCCTGGTGGGCTCGCATCCACGTGGGGCCTCGGAGACCCGGGAGCCCCCTGCTGTGTCATTCAGAGCACGTGGTTACACTCCTGAGGGCAAGGGGCTGGCTCACATCATGCCAGTTCTCCCAATGGGGCCCCTTCCAAGCTGAGAAGAGGTAGTAAGAGGTTGGCTCATGCCTGGGGCAGGAGCATCTTTTCCTTCCTTCTTTTATTCCTCTGATCCTCGGCTTTCCATGGCTGCCTGCCGTCCCCCTGCCTCTTTCCCACTAAGTAGGCAAAGGCCCGATGTCACCTTGCATGCCTTCACTGCAGTTTGCTCACCTGTGAGTTACCTGGCCCAGGAAGTTGCATCTGACAGTTCCCTGTGTCGAGCTCTAGTTTGTTTGGTGGTCAGCCATGTGCCAGGGTCTCTCTGCTCCAGGGTCGACAAGACCCTGCCTCATCTCTCCTGCTGTCCCTGGGCAGGAGTACCGCGCTGGGCAGAGCCCATCTCCTGGCTTCTAGGGCCAGTGGTTGTCTGTTCTGGTCCCCCATCTCTGGAACCACGGGGTGTCCGCCTTTACTCCTCGGACAAGGTCTAGACCTCATTGCTTTCTGTGTGTAGGGAGAACCATCGGGGTTAATTGTGCAACTCGTGTAGTTTTGGAAGCAGAGAAAAATCTGTGACCATCAAAGGAAACCGAGGACCCAGCAAGGTTTTAAAAAACCAACAACTAAACTTTTGTCTTGTCTGTGTCAAAACACTCCAGGTGTTCATGCAGACTCCGGTTTGTTTGTGAGCTGGGATGCCTGCTCTGGGCTCAGAAAAATTAGAGAAGGAGCCGTCTCTGGCCTGAATTAAGGGGAGCCAGGCAGCTCTGGTGGCGGCAGCTGCTGACATCTTTGTGTTGTTGCTACTTTCCAAGCGTCCATACAGTCAACACGTATTTAATTGAACACCTACTGTCTGGTGAGGACCTATTAAGAGATTGACGCCGTGCTGTACAGATGCTTTGTGCTCTGCTTTCTTTTAACAATCCTTCCGAGTTATACAATTTGTCCCCATTTCACAGGGTCAGAAAC